GTTGCTGTTGTTGTTGTTGTTGTTGTTGTTGTTGTTGTTGTTGTTGTTGTTGTTGTTGTTGTTGTTGTTGTTGTTGTTGTTGTTGTTGTTGTTGCTGCAGCTGTTGTTGTTGTTATTTATACGCTGTTGTTGTTGTTGTTGTCGTTTATCGGCTGTTGTTGTTGTTGGGCCACATACCAATCTCATAAAAGTCTCAAAATCTTGCCGTTGATCGACAGGGGGAGCCAGACCCTCCTGAGCGCATGCTTGTAATATCCGGGCCGCCTCGTCTCCGAGCGTTCGCAATTCTTTCACCTGAAAAGCAATGATCACAATACATTCGAGGCGTTGAATATTGCTCAGGGCATGTTCATATGAACCTGGTTTTCATGATTCGCCTCGGGGGGAAGTCTCCCAAATACTTTTTGTTGCCTTGTATGACGATTTTAATAACGCCTGCTTTGATCTGTTATTGTCGATTTTAAGTCACTTTTCAACGCGCGGGTCCCAAGTTCGTTGCAAACTTGCCAAACTCCCTTTTCAAATAGCAGAACTCCCTTTTCAAAAAGCAGAACTCCCTTTTCAAATAGCAGAACTCGCTTTTCAAATAGCAGAACTCTCTTTTCAAATAGCAGAACTCTCTTTTCAAATAGCAGAACTCGCTTTTCAAATAGAAGAACTCCCTTTTCAAATAGCAGAACTCCCTTTTCAAATAGCAGAATTCCCTTTTCAAATAGCAGAACTCCCTTTTCAAATAGCAGAACTCCCTTTTCAAATAGCAGAACTCCCTTTTCAAATAGCAGAACTCCCTTTTCAAATGGCAGAACTCACTTTTCAAATGGCAAAACTCCCTTTTCAAATGGCAGAACTCCCTTTTCAAATAGCCGAACTCCCTTTTCAAATAGAAGAACTCCTTTTTCAAATAGTAAAACTCCCTTTTCAAATGGCAGAACTCACTTTTGAAATGGCAAAACTCACTTTTCAGATGGCAAAACTCCCTTTTCAAATAGCCGAACTCCCTTTTCAAATAGAAGAACTCCCTTTTCAAATGGCAGAACTCACTTTTCAAATGGCAGGAACTCACTTTTCTAAGGCAAAATTTGGTCAAAATTTTCTAAGTCCGTATCTGTAGCCATTATCCGTACCTCATTATAAATACGAGACATGAAAGTTTATCAGTCAAAATGTGCTTTAAAATTCCCCTGAGCCAAAACTTTCTGCGTCACTATGAGTTTTGAACCCTTCTAGGCTTGTCAACAAGTTGTAACAATGCTGTTATTTCACCAAGTTGCAATGCGGTTGTCACTCACAATTTGTTGACAAATTGTTGAATTGCAGGACGATAACAAGTTGTTGGAACAACTTATAACAAGTCTGTTGAGCTCAACAACCTTGTAGCAAGTTGTCAACAAGCTGGGAACAAGCAGTGCGAACACATCCTGTTGACAAGTTGTTGGAACAGCATTGCTACAAGTCTGCTGCAGTTTGTTACAACTTGTGCGTTTTTAGGTAAAATAAAACCACTACTCACCTTCAGTGGCATGTTGACGATGAAATTTGTGATTAGCAGATGCACTTGTCGAACAAAATACTCCTGGGAAAAATATAAACAATAAAAGATGTCAATAGATCACTTTTATAACACAGACGGGTTTGAATTTATTCAAGTTCAGGGTTAGATCACATTATAGACGTCAGTTCTGGCAGATTGGGCATTGCACAACGAATCTTTGATGTAGTTTTATCAAATTTTCAGTGAAGAATGCCGAAAAAACGCTGATTAAGAAATAATACATTTGGTGGGCGTTTATACCTAACTTTGTATAATGAGTTAAGACAAAAAAGTAAGCATACCTCCTCATAAAAATTTCTTGAGCACACCACCGACTTTCTTAGAAAATCAAAAACATCATTCAGTATTGCCATGGTAACAATGGCGTCATCTTCGACCAAGAGTTCCACATCGGCTACAAGGTCGCTGGCATATTGACTGCACATTCGCAAAGTGAGCCCCCAAGCAAACTGTACAGCGGCACCAAGCTGCGGCCACGCCCACCCTTCAAGTTGTGACGCATCTTGATGGAAATTTGGGATGAACTGGGGATCGTGTAAAATTGGAAGTTTGTTTTCAACTAGAAAAGTATAAGTTTCGACATTGTGACAAAATTATGAATGTGGCATTGTATATATATATATATATATATATATATATATATATATATATATATATATATATATATATATATATATATATATATATATATATATATATATATATATATATATATATATATATATATAATAATAATCTTTAATGAGGAAAGCTTTGTCACATATGACGTGTGATTTTCACAAAGGTCCTACACATAGGGAACATTATATATACAAATAATCATGCAATTATAAAAATCTAAAACTAGTTAAAAGTCAAAAGTCTAAAACTGTAAGTCACGATGTTCTAAGCAGGCTCTAGGTTAAAAGTCTAGAAAAAAATTTCTCTTAAAAGACACTAGTGTTGGAGCATTCCTTGTATCACTGTCTAAATCATTCCAGTCTTTGATTGCTTGATAGTTAGTGCGTTGTTTCCCCCAATTGCGTTTAACTTTAGGTAGCCTTATTGTGTCCTTATTTCGAGTGTTATGACTGTGA